GGGGATAGGCAGGGGACCCACCACTCCGAAGCAGTCTCCCACCCCCACAGTCCCCCTACCCCCACACAGTCCTCCCACAGCCACAAACCCTCCCCCAATTCACCCACAAACCCCACCATCCCAAACTACCCCCACAACCCTCCCACTCACATACCCACCCACAAACCCCACACCCACAAACCCCCCTACAATCCACCCACAAACCCCACACCTGCCAAACCTCTGCACAAGCCCCATGCCCACAAGCCTCACCCCCACAGACCCTACACTTAGCCACGAACCTCCCCATACCCTTCCCCCCACTCCACAACCCCACATCTCTCCCATAAATCTCATACTCTGTGTATCCAGCTGCCAGACAGGGCGGTACCTGCTGGCAGGAGCCACAGCTGCAGAGCCAACTGTCACACTGCAGCCCTGTCCTGTGCGCATACTAGTGCTGGGATATGCAGCCCCAGCCTGGGGGGCTACTCGTCTCAGGAACCACTTGGGGAGTGTGATGGGCTGGGCAAGGTGTGGTGGAGGTGGCAGCAGGGGTGAGATAGAGTGAGAGAGGGGTCAGGGATGGAGGAGCACTCTGGGTAAGTGAGGCCTCTGGAGCCGGGCTTAGAGCCCCCTGCTCCCCTAAAGCAGCCTGTGCAAAGGAAGGCTGGCCTAGAAGGGAAGGGGCCTGCTCAGCCCAGTCTCTGAGCCCCAGTTGTGGGCTCCCTAGGAATGTCATGGGGATTGCTGGGGCCTGGGTACAGGTGCAGAAAGGAGAACAGTAAAGGTTGGCACTTCTGAGCTCCACAAAGCAACTGGTGGGACAGCCACAGCTGGACTCGTGTCCTGGTGCTGGGACAGAGCTGTGGCCAGGAGGGAGCTAGTGAGAGTAGGCAGAGACTGTGGATCAGGAGTGAGGGGCAAGGGCATGGGTAGGGGCACGGCCCTGGCATCCCAGTGCTGCTCAGTGCCCCACATCCTGGTGAGCAAAGTGGGCAGGGGCAGCTCAAGGATATCTTCTTGATGATAGCTGCCCAGAGGGCAGAGCAGAGGCACCAGAAGACATGACAGCAGTGCTGCATGAAGGCCAACTGTGCAGTTATGGCCCACTGGCAACTGGCCCAGAAGTGCAGGCAGCTCTGCTGTAGTGTCCATACCACAGCCCAGGTGGCTGTGCAGTCCTTGTCTGGGTCTGGCTGGCCAGCTCGCTATATTCAGTCACATTAATTGCATGTGTAGACATGCTCCCTGAATACATGGAAGTGAGGAGCAAATTTGAAAACAATGAATTTGATCTTAAACGTGGCTGTACCAATTGGCATATAGTACCTATATATTTAAGTCATCCAGAATTTGTGCGTATTATGTTTTTTTGCTTGTTTTTGAAACTGCTGGAGCCTGCCAGACCTGGGCATTGTACTCAGCACAGGTTGGGGGCCCCGGCAGCAGGGGTAGCTCCTCCTGCACCCCTCTAGTTGCCGTGTGCTCTGCCTGCTGCTGCACCCCTGGGTGCTGTCAGCCAGGAGCAAAATAGAAGTTGAGCTTCCAGGGCTCTGTCCCTCTACCCCACCAATCCTGCTCTGATGCAGAGGGATGTAGCAGGTCCCACCTGCTGCCTACCCTGGCCTGGCTGACAATGAGCTGCTGCTGTCCTGCACCCCACTCCATGCCACCACCAACCC